TTTTACAAATGTTACACATCACCTTTGGGCAGAAGTGTATTCTAAGGTATTATTCAAGTCAAGCAAAATAAATCAATTTAACTAATCATAAAATAAATTTTATTTAAATTAGTCAAATGATTTATAAATTCAATGTTAGTAATTAATTAACCGCAAAAATTAAAGCGGTTGAGGCGGGGCCCATTTAATCAGAAAATCAAAAGGCATATAAGGCAAGAGATTTTCCAACAAGTAAAATAAAATTAATTTTTTTTATATGGTATTTTAGCATATCCCTTACTTAGTTTTGCTATTCTTGGTAAAGTAAATTTATAAATAAGGAAATAGAATATATTATGCAAAAGTGAGATATGCCATACAACTTAAGGAAGTACAATTATATTCCAAATCAAATACCAACAATAAGACAATTTCATCAAAATAAGAATGTAGAATAACATGCTTAATTTATTTATTCATAATTTGTGGAATCAAAATCATTAAACAATAGTTTTTTTTCTGTAATTTATGAATTAACGAGTAAACCAAGAATACAATTTGATGGCAAATTTAGGTGGTCCACAATTTAGATCTGCAGCGATTTTACTCAATCAAAAGTAAAAAAAAACAATTACTTTGAGAGCTTATTCCGATTTTGCACTGAAAGAAAATAAAGCCACAAGTGAATTATTGTGGAGAGACCATTATTGGTCCAAATCGGAAAACAAGATTTTCAAAAAAAAGAATTTACACACTGAATGATTTCGCAAAACATGAGACACCAATAAATCGGAAATCCATTCTTGTTAGGGTAAAACTGATAATCCGATTTCAATTTCAATAGTTTAGGGAACAAAAATAGAATTGATTAATCAACATATTGCTCCGATACCACATGTTGATCAATTCGTAAACATAAAATATAAATTAGGGATTTAATCATGTGTACCTGATAATCCTGTAAACGTAGTTAGGGATGAAGCCATGATTCTCACGCAGATCGAGTTCCCGTTTAGGGTGTATCGTTATGATGGCTAAGGTGAGGATGAGACTCACGAGAATAGAGAGGCAGAGAGAAGGCGTAAGATTGGTGTGTTGATCTCTGCCTAATGACCTCTATATATATACACCCAAGGGGAAACCCTAATTAGGTCGTAAGGGTAATTACGTCCATCGAATAATTACCAA